TGCTTTACAGAGTAACACACTGGCAAACAACACAATTGTCTCAAGAGAGATTAACCTTGTAAGCAAGTTATGCAGGTGATTCAAATCCAGTTAATCTCACAGAAAAAAAAATGTTAATTGCGTTGGCAAAGACATTGCCTGTGATCACGCCACAGTTATATAATTAGGGATAAGCCCATTCAGAAGAACTCTAACCTAATTGATAAACAGTCAGCAAACAGCCCTGGAGATTTCTCTCCCAATTTTCAATATGTGGTCAGACATAAGGTGATACTGTGGAAAAACACAGTGACCTGGTTTTTTGACATGCCTTAAAATTAAGCAGCCTTGTTGTTCAATAGATCAAGATTTTCATACATATTTATTTTAATTATACAGAGGCTCATAGGTACAATCTCTTTGGACATTAATAGGTACTGAGTGGGATCACTTATCAACTAACTAGATTGTTCAATTTTCATCTTTCTGAAATTTCCAATTTTTCATTTATATGCAGATGACTTTGATACAAAAGAGGCAAACAAAGATACTTCTTTGTAATTTTTACAACCTGTGACTGAAAGGGGCTTAGTTTTCCTTTGGCTCTAGCCTCTACAAATTCAAGCCTTCTAAAAATATATTTTCCACTTACTTTGTAATACTCATTTTTTTGTCCAAGTTTCATATTTCCTGGAGAACAGCCTAATTAAGGAATTTGGCAAGAAATTCTTATAAAAGCTTTTCTTGGATTTGTATATATATATAATATTTTAGTGTATATATATATATATATATATATATATATATATCATATATGTATTATAATATATTAGTCCAACCTACAGTTTTTAACATACTGTTTTCTGTAGGCAGTGATGAAAATTGCAAAGCAGAAGGTGAGTTTATAATTAACATAAAACAATAGGAATACTGAATAATATAATTTAGAGATATTTACAGGAGAGGGTGCTATGGATATTCTTAGACTAATGCTTTAAAACTTGTGAGCAAACACCAGTGAATCAGTAAATTTTCTTTCCTTTGTTGGAAGGCATAACCAAAGATAGTCTGGTGTAAAACCCACTTTGATGTATCATGTGAATCCAAGTGACTTCTATCTCAGTTATCTTGGCATCCATCTTTTTTCCTATCAACTGAATTACACTTTGTACTATGTGCCAATATCAGGTTTCCAAAACTCCTGTACCAGATACTCTCCCATGGTTATCCAGTTGCTAAGCAACTGGACTCTGCTTGAGGGCAGAAGGAAAGAGAGAAGGATCATCCTGAAGTTCTCCATCCTGCTGCGCTCATTAGAACAGCAGCAGGGGATCCTGCATCTTGCTTCTTCTTGAAATTATAAGTCAGGTGCTTCCCTTATAACACAATGGGACTTAGAACACGTATGATAACCAAAAACTCCTTAAGGGTCCTGTCCCTGTCTCCTGGAGGAAGAGACTATGTAGCTTTGTGCCACATCTGATGTAAAATTTGCTCCTCAGATTGATTGTGTGTTGTGGAATTGTGCTTGATACATGTTAAATGAAGCACACAAAATCTTTGCCTGAAAAAAACAAGGTATTTTAATAGAACTGGTCTCGTGTGCTGTCTTGCTATTTATTTTATACTCAGCACAATGTCATGATAATAGACAGCTTTACTCTTCCAATGACTTAGTAGATTTTCAATGTATAAATTTGCCATGATTCATTCAAAAAGTTCCTCATGTTTCAATACCACTAACATTGCCAAAATTCTATGTATTTCTTGTTTTTGTTGCAGTTACCAATTAGCAAAGTTATTGTTCTGTATTTTTATGAATTGCAAAGTATAAACAGGTATAAACAGGTAAATTTTGGGGGGGTTCTTCAAATTTCATATTTTTTCTTACTGATTATTAATATTGCCAAGTTCCTCTTGTTCCTAACTTCAATGAACATGACTTTTGCATCTTAATTTTTAAAATGACATTTAATTTATGATAAAAATTTTATCCAATCTTCAGATGTGTCTTTTGATTCCTTCTTTAAATTTTTTATATGTAAGAGTTACATCTACAGATACCATATTTTTTCTTTCCCTTTCAGGGACTTCCTTCATCTTATTAATTCAGAATTATTTTGACTTTAAGTAGCACAAACATTAATGGCTTGAGTATAAGAAGTTTATTTTTCTCATACTTACTATTTTATATACACTTACACAATGATACCCACATTTTACCTAGCAGTATGTTCAAAATTGTTAAATGGACTGTTGAAAATCTTTCTGGACTATTCTTTTTCACCTTGCATGTCTGATTGATTACTCAGTTTTGAATCTCTTTAGTGTATCCCCTTTCCTATATCCTGGGAATCACTGTCAATTTAAGCTGAAAGAATTTCTTATAACAACACTTTGACCTAATTGATTCATGTTCTTTGTTTGTTTTGGTACCAGGGATTGAATTTAGGGACACTTAACCACTGAGCCACATCCTCAGCCCTGTTTGTATTTTATTTAGAGACAGGGTGTAACTGAGTTGCTTAGCACCTTGTTTTTGCTGAGACTGCTGTTGAATTCTCAATCCTCCTGCCTCAGACTCCCAAGCCACTGGGATTACCTGGGGGCACCATGTTCTCTTGTATTTCATCTTTCTCAGATGTACTAACATGGTCTTTCATATGCTTATTACAAATAAGCATATGAAATCCTAACTGCTCTCCATCATCCTGAGGGTAGAGCTTAACACTCTTTATCATGGCACACAGGCCCTTCATAGTCTTGCTACTTACTATCTGGCTAGCTTCATCTCCTACCACTTTCCCAGGGAAACCAAGCTGCTGGCTGTTTCCCAGCCCCCAATCCTGAAGCCTGGCTTAGACTAATATGTGGTAGATGAATGAGTGGTTAAGAAAAGACTTATTCTAGCTTGTCCATCCTATGCCAGGTATAATACAGTATTTCTTTTAACCCCAGATGGGGCAGCAGGGGTCTTCTAAATTATTTTTCAATCTCAATCAACAGTGGTAGAGGTTTAGTCCTCTTTAGCCGATTTTAGATAAATGCGACTAATAGCTCCATTGGATGGCAGCAAAAAAGTTAATCCCAATTCTTAGGCTGATGATACATTTGTACTATTAATATTTGCAACACCCGTAAGTATACATCAATCCTCTTGCCTATTTGCTTCCAGTAGCAGAAATAGTTCAATATCAAATATGCTATCCTTAAAATAGTGTGAACACAGTATCCTGAGTTCAAAAGGATAACACTAAATCATTACATGCAACATGTACTTTTGTTCTCTGGTCAACAGGACATATTTTGCTATCGAAAATTGTTCAGATAATAATCTTGGCTATCTAAAATATTTAGGGATATTTAAATTTTCTCTAGTTTTATGGGTTATTTGTAAATTCAGCTCTAAAAAAAGTTTTCATGATAAATTTTTGTTTGTCTTGTTTTATGGCTTAGAATTGTGGGTTCTCAGAAGAAAGATAGTGGAATATATTCAGGTGTTTGTTTTGAAGAAAATATTGACTCCTACTGTCTAATTCTCCATGACAGATACAACTGTGCTCCTTCTGAATGCCAGTGATAGTTGATTTGTCTTGCAACAAAATATTTCCCTTGCAACTTACATATTTGTTTTATAGATAGGATCTTGCTTTAGTCGACAAACAAACATACTTCTATTCTATACTCCTAACATGTTATTTTGTATGATTTATTTTCTCCAAAGTTTTCCTGCTAAGTATGTTTTAGTTGTTGGGCCACTACATTCATAATTCTATACCAGGAGTTTGAACCTTGAGTCCTCAGTGGCTGAACATGGCCAGATGGCCAGATAAATTGTGTCAGCTCCCTATGGATCTCATCTTTCTTTTCCTTGACTTAGTTTTCTTTCTACTTCAATAAGTAGCAATATTGGACTTGCCTATGATTTGGAGATGTGCTAATTTTTAAGTGTTAATTTTTTTTAATATCAGACCATTTTCAAAAAATGAAGAAAATGGACAAGAAATAGAATTGTTTAAGGAAGCATGAAATTTTTTTTTTTTGTTGTTTTGTATGTTTTTTTTTTTTTGGATGGTAAGATTCTTATGATTAGGAAATTATTTTCCACTTGTTTTATGTAGACTAGTGTTAAAATGCATTTTTTCAGTCCCAAGTATATATTAACTAACTAACTAACTAAGCAAAGGCAGAAACACTAAAGCAGAATATTGAATAAATAAGGAACACAAAAGTTAAATAAGGTAAAAAATATATATAAGTATCTGATTTAGGAGACCACTGGAGAAAACCTTAGAAAATTATGTATGACAGTTTGCAATAATTAAAAATGACAATATTTACATTAAAGAAAAAAATCAGGCACACAGCGTTCAATACATACAGTTAAAATATTCACATATGTAGTAAGTCCTTGTAAAGTAAAAGCTTAAGTGGAAAAATTTATATAAGACTCACATGCAAGAGCATAAGATTTTTTCCTGAAAGCATTCTTTATTTTATTTGTTTATTTTCATGTGGTGCAGAGGATCAAACCCAGTGCCTCACACATGCTAGGCAAGAGCTCTACCACTGAGCTGCAGCTTGAAGCATTCTTGATGGAGTATTAATATCTTTTTGATGTTTTCCCTCAATCTCAACTTATAGTTTTCTTACTGTAAGCCATGATAATAGATTACATTAATAATTTTTAAACTCACCTTCTTTCTATAGAATTTGGTGTTCTTAATATTTTGATAGGATTCACCTGATATGGCCCACAAATTCAAAACAAAAAACAATCAGTTTAATATTTTTTCCACAAGTTTGCATGGTCCTATATAGAAACCATAGTTATTCCTGTGCTTAAAAGTAATTCATTTTATTCAGTTATATTCAATTTGTAAGGCCTTATCAGACATAGTTGAGATACAGCATTCCATACCTATGTACAAAAGTAAACCATATGGTCCCTTTGCTCTTTTCATAATTACTTAAGTCATTCACATTTCATCTCACTTTATCTCTCTCTCTTTTTTTCCAAGAACGACCCACATTTCTCAGGAGGCCAATTAACCAGGTGGTGTTGGAAGAAGAGGCTGTAGAATTTCGCTGTCAGGTCCAGGGAGATCCTCAACCAACGGTGAGGTGGAAAAAGGATGATGCAGACTTGCCAAGAGGAAGGTAAAACCATTATGTGGATGGAAAATTGTTAGGTGATCAGAGAATAATTAGAGAAGAAAAAGACTTCCCCAATTTCCCACCAGATTTTCTCGCATTTTGGATATTTCCACACATGTGGTGTTTATATATGCAAGCTACATATTTGCTGTGTGCATATTAAAGTTCTTTAGGCTTTTGATATCACTCTCAATAAAAATCCACATTAGTACCTGATCCTAAACTCCATCTTTTATCCCAGGTAATAAGAATCCTAAGGTGTTTTCTTTCTCAGGAACCCTGTAGGTTTTCCATTCTCCTCTTTCTGAATCCTTGACCATCCATCCCACTTGTTCCTTTAACAATGGCCCTCCTTCCATGATGTTTCATCCACCCTTGAAATCCACTGTTTTTCTTTAATGCCCAAAGAATCTCTACCAAAACTGAGTGTGGCCAACTTTAAGGGCCACAACACCAAAGAGGCAATAAGTAAAGGATACCACTTTCCACACAGAGGATTTCTCCTCAGGGACCTCCTGTCACTTTTTCCATTGCCATTGTTTCAAGGACTCATTCTCTCCATTTTTCCCCCATTCTTCTTTTATCACACCCTAAAACGCAATCTCTCTCAATTATCTATATTATAAAATAAAGTCTATTATCTTTTATAAAAATAATTTGAACTTTTGTTTTGTAATTTATTTTAAATCTATGCCCTGGAAAAAATCATTTAAGATAGGCTAGAAAAAAAGTCATTCAAGTGTTTGCATTTTTTTTCCTATGCAATTGAGCAATTCTAGTTCTAAAATTTATTATGCTTTCCATCTTTCTGCACATGCTGAAACTCCAAGCATCACACCTACCACAATAATTGTCTCCAAAAAATTTTGCATCCCGTTTTCTGTCATTTTCTCTTAAAAAATTAGGTTTCATTCAACTGGTTAAAATTAAATGTGCATCTGCCAAAGTCACATACCCTTATGTGCATTCTCTAGCACTGCTGTAGATATACTGCTAAATTTGTACTTTTATTTCAAGTTTGAACTTTGTATGTCTCTAGGTATATGTTACTCTACTTTCCAAAGTCACATCATCAACAACATTAACCTCAAATGGACCAAATGTTTTAAACAGTGAGAGTTTCTTTCAGGTCTGTAGGTATAAAGCACTTACTTTAAACTAATTCAGTTATTTTTTCTGTCTAAATAGAAGCTGTGTTTGTTTTTCTGGTTTATTTATTTATTTGTTTATCTTTGCCACTTTTCTTCCAGACATCTACCTTTAAAGAATTGTCATTAACAGTGGATGTTAGTGAATATGAAGCTCCTTGTGCCTTCCCAGTGAAGATAGCTAAAAAGCAAGGAGAATTTATAGAAACTGAGTAGTTATTATCTATTCTTTATAGATTGTCAAAAATTTTCTTCAAATTTAAGAGAACATATGGATAATTTTTAAATGTTAATGTAAGTTTAAGAGATTAATTATAGAATAAAATTTATCCTAGTATAGACAATGGTTAATTTTTAATTTCTGAGAGGATACAGCATTTTCCATATTAAAAATAACTTATAATTTTGGAATACTTTTGTAATTATGGGAACATGACAATGTTAGTAGAGAGAGTTCCCATACACAGTGTATGCAGTTTCCCTTATTGCTCACATTCATGAATCATTTGTCATATCTAATTAACAAAGGTCTATATGCAATAATTTAATAAAGAAGGAATCTTACTTGGATTTTGTAGGTTTTTCCTTAATGCCCCTTTTTTACTCCAGAATTCAATCCAGGGATTTATTTGGGTGGGTGTCATAAAGTATTGCATTTAGTGTTCATGTTTGCCAGGTCTTCTTTAGTCTGTGACATGGTCTTAGTTTTTGTTTTGGGACTTTTATGACCTTGGAAAACTTAAAGAGAGGTATAGATCAAATATACTACAGTGTTGTTTCCAAAACCTGTATTACCCCAATGTTTTCATATGATTTGACTGGGTTTATCCGCTTTTGGAAAAAAAATGCCACAGTGCTGAGATGTCCTTCTTATTGCATTGTATCAAGGGTACATGCTATCCAAAGACTTCTCATCTACAAGTCATTTGTGACAGGGCAATGGGTTAGCTTCCAGACAGGCTAAAGAAAGTGCCTGGAGACAGCATGGGACACCTGTGGTTTATTCGGAAAAGCTTACAAGAGATCAGGGATTGATCTAACCAGAATTCAGCAGCGACAGGCTGAGAGATATCACCTCTGTCCCTCAAGGTGCTTTGCAAATCAATTCCTGCTGATGGTGTTTTGTCCAGTGACAGCCTGCTGGGCAAATGACATGAATCCTTTCCTCGGTGCCCTCAGTTCCATGCCACTCTCCACTCAGAGAGGAGTTCTGTATGTAGAAGCTGTGATGTCATCAGCATTAGCTTGCTTATTTACCTTGTAAAACTAGCATCCCCGGTAATAACTGTACTGGTGTAAAGGCAAGAAAATAACATTCTTTCTTTTTTGATTTTGTTTTGTTTGAAGTTCCCCTAGGGATTCTTTTTATTCAAATTCTTATTTTATTGATTCTTCTTATACATAACAATAGAATTAATTTTGATAAAATTATAAAAGCATAGCCTATAACTTATCTAATTAGTACACCATTTTTGTGGTGGGTACAATGGTGGGACTCACTTAGGTATTTTCTATGTGTTCATAGGAAAATTATGTTATTACTCTACTAACTTTCTGCAGATACCACTAGTTTGCCCTAGTTCCCAGTGAACATAAGAAAAAGCTAGTGTCCTTCCAGATACATGTATTGGAACTCTCAGGCCCAGGCTTGCTTTCATTGTTGCCATAACTTGGCTAGATTTTGGGGAACAGAGAGGGAACATTCAGGGACATGATATTCTATGATCTTTACTTTGGGTTTGATAGAAAAGAAAATTACAGTTGATCTGGTCAGTTTTTACATTACACAAGGTGGAGTTAGGAAAGATTCAAAAGTAGATACTTAGAAGAGTATATTGTATCTTAACTGTGTCTGTTTTTGAATGAAGGGAAAATAAAACTTGAGCCTAGTTAGATTTTCCCCAGTTGACTAGAGGAGCTCATTCATAAACCTTTTGTTGCTACACTATTCTCCAAATCTTGTCAAAAGTATTTACTTCAGATTACAGGTACTGCACATTAACTATACAATAGCATACAAGCTACATTTTCAGACTGTATGGTATCAGGCACCCCAAAGTCAAGGTTAAATTCTGAGAAATCTGATCTCCACTACCTTCCCTTGAAACATTTTCATAGTCTCAGTCTCCATTCATCCATACCTGGCATTTTACTACTGCAATATTCATGTGACCGGCTAAATATTTTTAAAGTATTAGGCAAATGGAATTGCTGGGTAAGCTTTAAATTGTTATGTTACAAAGGCCTTAGAGCAGAATCTATGCAATACAGAAATTGAGGTCAGTATTTTTATCATGATAGAAGCCATTCACTTTTTCTGCAATTCCCCATCTTTAAATGATATTTCAAAGAAGATTATTCATTCTTGGATCAGTGTGTATTAGCATAAGCTTCTCTTATGTATAATGAGGGGGAAGAGATCTCTTTACTCAGAGAAGAATAACAGTAATGACTTTTAGCCCGCCATGAACTAAATCAACAACATTGATTCTATTACATTATTTAGGTCTCAGACAAGGAAGATGGCCATTGTTCTTGGATAAGCAATTGGTGTGGAGGATGACATTTCTTTGGCTTGCCATTTAATGAAATTTGAATAAGGTTTGTTTGGTGGTTCATGCTTAACACTTTGATAGTAAAGCTCTTTAGGGCATCTGCATAGCCTATAATTACAATGTAAGTAACAAGTGACTAGTTTTCTTTTGAAGACAAGAACAGCCTTTCAATTCAGGTTTAAGTTTATGAAATGCTGTGATAGCTATTTAAAGCTTTAACACTGAAGAAGATATCTGCACCAGTATTTCAGGAACCAGAGATGAATTCAGGGAGTATTTTTTCTTTGTGGTGAAAATATTTTTTAAGTAGTACTATTATATGCTTTTCTTTTATTTAGCCTTAAACTCCTTGCCTTTCTCATTAACTACCTTTAATAAAATTAAAACATATTCTTGATGAGATTGTTAAAAACATTTCTGACTATAGTGTTTGGGGTAGGCAGGAAATATAGCAAGTTCAACAACAGCTGTTGTATGCAACTTGGGAGAAGTTACTTATATTTTCATAGAACAAAGGGATGAAATAGGAAGGAGGCTTTATATCATATATGCTATTATCAGAATAGTAAATCCTTGCAGTAATTTCTGAAGATATTACAATTACACAGTTGGATATTTCAGGAAGAAAAAAAAAGTGACTGGATTTTTATAACCATGCTAATTGTCAATAATTTTTTTAGGGGGGTCTTGATAAATATGTGTTAATATAAATCAAAACTATTTCATTTTATACACCGATATGAAAATAAAGTGAGTTGGGGGAACAATGGGAGAGAAGCACTTACAGTTTATGGTGATTACACTTTTTAAAAGCACAATTATTTTAAAGCACAGTTAACATAGAAGATGGACTTTTAGATTTACTTATTAATGGCCTCATGCATTTAAAATGCCCATTGTCAGAGAGTAAACATAAGTCATTTAAGCATCATAAAGGTATATTTTTGATTCATTGTTTTTCATTTTAGGTTAAGGACATTGGGCACTATGGGAAGGTATTTACATGTGGAGTTATTAAACAAAATTACATAACCCGAGGCCATTTATTCCTTGGGTACTGCATCTACCTTTCTCAGGCAACCCTGGACTGTTACTTACTCAGGCTCTTTTGATGATCAAATGACTTTAACACATCTTTTCATAGTGTTTTATGTGTTAGAGGTTGCCAGTGTTTATAATGAGGCAATGTTCCATCTTGTGCTATGTTCCATTATAGAGCAAATATGTTAATATTTTGTTGTATCACAAATATGCTCCATGAAAATAATTTATAATCAATATGAAGAAACAGAATATAATA